GTGCAGAGCTCCGATCATCTTCTCGTTCAGCTCTTGGGCGGTCTTTGGGCACTCGCCGATGGGCCCCATGTGAGCGCAGAACGCAGCGGCGAAGGTGCGCTCCACGCCCGGCTCCTGGAGGGCAGCGACATCTTTTCTCTTCCGGCCCTCGTTGGGCTCTGTCTGCGGGACCTCCATCGTGAGCGACGCCCTGACAAGAAAATGATGAGAAGCAAGTGCTCGGGTCTTGTCGCTCCACACCCTGTGCACCGAGCCTAACCACGAAGAAGAAACGGCAATGAAGTCTATCTGGCCGAAGTGGTCGTGTGTTATAGGGCTTGATGGAGACGAGCCAATGTCGTAGCAAGTGATCTGCAGCTCTGCCAGCTCATCAAAGAACGTGTTGGCGATTGCGAATTCCCTTGTGCAGCATAGCTCTACGAGCAGGGACCAGTTCGACTCTGGGTTGTGCTGCGCATGCGGGTTGCCGAAAACATGTCTTCCCATGATAGCCTCCTCGCCGGGCCTCTGGATATGCAGCCTGGCATTAAGGTCGCCGCACAAGAACACTGGGCCATGGCAAGAGAACGACCCGATGAATTGTGTCAGCTCGTAGAAGTAATGTCGTCTGTCTTCTGCTGGTTTCCCGCTGTGGGGAGCGTACGCGCTACAAATCACGATCTTGCCGCCTCTGACCCGGAATTTGAGAGATGCCATTCTCGACGTAGCCTGGCGGAAGCCAACGACACTTCGTCGAGCCCGTGGTGAGACCAAGAACCCCACGCCGGCTGTTTCGCTGTCTTGCAGGGAACTTGAGAGGATCAACAGATAACCTTTCATCCGTGACAAGATAGTCCGACTTAGGTTTGCGTGTCTCTTGCAAGCACAACACGTCGATGTCCAACGCAAGCATGTGGTTCTGCAGTTCCATAATCTTCGCCTCCGTGAGGCCCTCCACGTTCCAAGTGCCGAGCTGGAGACTCGGCCTGGCCACCGCGAGCCTCCCACCTCGGGAAACATGTGCTTCATGTGATGAATAATTCGCTTGATAATCGATGGGCGAGCGTGCAATATTGCCGACTGCTCCCGTGAGCTCTGGTGAAACATTGGGTGACACCGTGCTCATGTGCGGTGTATCCTAGCGCCCCTTGGCGCTCCGCTTCGCGAGGCCTCCACCGCCCTTCATGCCCCGCCCTGCACGCGACAGCATGTCAGTGTTCTTCTGGATGAGTTCCTTTACCTTCGGGTTGTCGTGAAGCTCGTCCCACGTCTTCCAGTCTCCGTGCCGTACCTGACGCTGTTGCCTTCGATCTGCACAGTAACCGCCTCCTCCCCACCAACTGTCATCTTGTAGGGGGCCTCGTCTGTAATCTGGACAGCGTCAGGGATATTCCAATCGTTCCTGAATATGCGCTTCAAACCAAGGGAGGAGTTCCGAGCGGCACGATCGGGCGGGGATCTGTCCTGGCTGGCCCACGCCTTCTTGTCTCCTACCGGCAGGGCAGCTCCACGAAGTGCATCGACCGCCCGATCACGAGCGGCAGTGGAAGCGCACTCCGCGAACAAGATGCTTTTGAAGTCGCCCTTCGCGTACACCTTTGTTGGGCGGGGGCCGGAAGAAGTATCAAGCTTCCTCTGGAGCCAATCGATGGCGGAGCTGAGGTCCCCCAAGCCGTCCAAGTTGCCGATGACCATGTTTACTGTGCGCTTGTCTGTGATCACGGGGTTCTGGAGGCCAGACTCCTGGGAGAGAGCCTCATTCGTCAAGGCGATCCCGATGCACTCCTGGATCTTGTCCTCGATCTCGTCCATGCTGTGTCCCGGCCTCTTCTCCAGTACCTCGCACACGTGCTCCAGCTTTTCGATGCGGAAGTCGTTCTTTGCCAGCTCGGCTTCAATGCCCTCCAACCTGTCGGAGAGGGTGTCGCCCATCGCGATGACCTTCGCTTCGAGGTTGACGAAGTCCTTACGCAACTGTGCAACCACGGACGTCACGGGGCGGAGCTGATCCTTGAGCAAAGCAGCGATGCCCCGCATTGTAACCGCAAAGAAAAAAATGTAACCGGCTCCTGAAGGACCTCTTCTGGCTCGGCAGCTCCACGAGCATCGCCCGCAGCAGCGTCGAGACGGTCGAGGAGCGAGGAGCGAGGGTCGAGGAGCGGAGCGCCGGCGCCCTCGGACTGCACGATGACACCTGGCTTTGGCTCGTCAGGCGTCACCCCACCATACTTGTACTGTATGTGCGTCGCCTCGCCGGGGGCGATGCGCACACCGAGAAATCTTGTGGTATATGCGTCGTGGCAGGCGCTTTCTGGCCACACCGCTCGGGAAACGATATACTACAAGATGGGTATACTATATGTTTGGGTCGGACGCGCGCCTCCAAGGAGGACACATAGTATTAGTATGTCTCTGTGCGTCCCATCCATATCGTCGAGGGGAGAGTTTGGACCGTGTCCTACACGGGTCTTCTTGGTCGCGACATCGTTCTTCAGAAGACCACCGGCTGGGGTTCCTGCCGCACGCGTGCCACGAGCGAGAGGAGAGAAAGGAGAAGACATGTCGAACGGTGTAGTGTAAGAGTGAGTTGAGTAGGCAGAGATGCTGTAGGCAGAGATGCTTGATGCTGCAAGCAGAGATGCTTGAGCCCCGGAGGAGAACGTATATTCTTAGCATATGCGCCCCAAGAGGGCTCCAAGACGGCCCAATGGGGCTCCGAGACGGCCCAAGAGAGCCCCCAGACTGCCCAAGAGAGGCCCCTGAGGGTCCACAAGCTTCCCAAGCGAGCCCCAAGAGGGCCGCAGGAGGTCCCTCCGGAGAGGGCCCCGAGACGGCGCCCGAGCTCGCCAAGACGGCCCAGCCGGGCACCCCAAGACGGTCTGAGAGGGTCCCCGCACGGCCCAAGATGGCCTCCAGACGGCGCTCTGGAAGTAGATGTGCTTTCCGTCCCCGTGCTGAGCAGGGCTAAAGCTGCGATTTCACTAGGGACATCTTCAAAGCATGCGATATACTCAACTCTTACTCGGGCCCAACATTGCCCAACAAGACGGCCCAAGGGGGCTCCAACATTGCCCAATGTTGCCCCAACATTGGTCTCCAAGAGGGTCCAAGACGGTCCAAGATGGATTCCAAGACCTCTCAGTAGGGTCCCAGAGGCCCCTAGACGGTCCTAGCGCGCTCCTCGACGACCCAAGATGGCCTCGAGACGGCCTTAGAGGCGTTCAAGGAGCCCCAAGAGGTTTCAAGAGTTTCCCCAAGATGGCCCCAAGAGGCAACACACAAGTTTTTACACGATTTTTGGGCGATCTTAGCGCTCTCGCATTTTCATGCGTCCGATTGGCCAAGAGGGCTCAAGAGGCCGCCGAGACCGCTCCAAGACGGCCCAAGAGGCTCCCAAGAGGCTCCCAAGAGGGCCGCAGTACGCCCCAAGATGACCCGTAGACAGCCCGAGAGGCTCCCGAAACGGCCCAATGTTGCCCCAGGACAGCCCGAAGAGGGGGTCAAGAGGGCGTGAAGCCACCAAGACTGCCCAAGGTGCCCTCCAGACTGTCAAAGCGGCCCCGAGACGGCCCAAGTGCGTTCGGATGCGGCCCACGATGGCTTCAGTACGGCCCAAGAGCCCCCCAAGAAGCGCCCTTCTTGCGACCCGAAGTGACGTTTCGCTGGGAAAATCATCAGTCAAAGACGGTCCAATGTTGCATCCACTAGCACGCCCTCTTTGGGATCGAGAACGGTGATTTGGTCGCAGACATTTTCAAACAGATGTGATTGTCCTGGTATCGATTCTGGAAGGCCTGAAGACGGCCCAACGGCGGCCAACAAGACGGCCAACAAGACGGCCCAAGAGGGCCCCAAGATCGCCCGTGATGGCCCCAAGTTGGTTCTCCAAGAAGACCCAAGTCGAAACAATATTGTTTTCGAGACGGCTCAAGAGTGTCCCCGAGGCCCCGTGACGGCCCAAAAGCGCCCCACGACGACCCAAGATGGCTTCAAGGCGGCCCAAGAGGCTTCAAGTATTTGCAAGAGGGCTCCAAGAGTGTACCCGAGATGTCATTAAGCGGAAACGGTCAAACCATTCTCTCTCTATATATTTATACACATCTACTACATGTGTGTGTATATATATATATGTATATATCTATGACATAATATGTACATAATAAACCAAGACGTCCCCCCCGGGTCTCACACCTCCCCGTGACATCTGCGTGACGCTCCTAGTACCGCGCTTCCTGGCCTCTGGGGAGCTCCCAAAACGCCCAAAGACAGCCCAAGACGACCCCAAGAAGCCCCCGGAACGTAAAAAGAACGGCCCAAGACGCTCCCAAGCAACCCAAGATAGCTTTCGGGCGGCTCTCCAGGCTCCCAGGAGGCCTCCAAGAGACCTCACGAGAGCTCCGAGAGGCCTCCCGAGAGCGCCCGGAGAACCTCAAACCGTTAATTTTCATTTGTTTATTCGAGGTTTTTTATGGTTCTTTATATAGAGAGTTTCAACGTTCCAAGACGGCCGAAGAGGCCCCCAAGACCGCCCCAAGACCGCCCAAGAGGCCCCCAAGACGGCCCCAAGACGGGCCAAGAAGGCCCCAAGACTGCCGAAGAGGCGCCCAGGACAGCTCCAGACCACCCCAGAACAGGCCCAAGATGGGCCCAAGCGGGAGGACTCCGGGACCCTCCAGAGGCCCCCAACACACAGACCCTTGAGAGGCTTCGAAGACTCCTCTTCCTCCTGCCCCACATGCACAATTTTTTTTGGAATGCTGTTGAACTCTCTGACGCTGTCTTGGCACTCTCTTGGATCGTCTTCGTGTCCTCTTGGGTGCCCCCGAAACCACCGTAGAAATCGATATCCCATGAGCCCATTAGTTGAAAACATTGAGTTGTATTCAAATTGGGGGCGGGTTGTACATCAGGAACAACTGAACGAAAGTTAGAACCTGGGGGAAACGTGAACATGGAGAGGAGGAGGAGGTCGAAAAACAGGCCGTAAAAGTCGAACATCGGGACGAAGTCGCTCGGATGCCCTAGGCTCTCTTCAACACCTCGCAATCCTCTGCCATCTGCGCCATGGCAACGAGCCCCATGCGGCAGACGGCCACCTGGAGCTCCGCTCTGCGGGCCGCGGACGCGTGAGCCGGGAAAGTGATCCATCCCGTCTTCAGCGTCGCCCGCGGCTGGCGTGCCCACCAGCCAGGTGGGATGTGGTACGCGTCGTTCAGCTCCTGCCGGAAACCCGCCAGGGCGGCGCACTCGGCCACGTAGTGGCGCGCACTCGGTCGATGGGGACCCCCGCAAGACGGGCAGGCCGCCGTGAGATCGGGCCTGGTGTTGCTCCATCTTCTCGTCGGGCTGTGTGTCGCTCCGCAGCGAAAGATCTTCAAGTGGATCCTGTCCTCCAGGGTCAGCGAGTCCCGGAAAGTGGACCACGCTCGTGCCGAGGAGGCTTCAAGGTCGATCTGGTCGACCCCCTCCGAGTCGTGGCGAGACGCGGATGCGTGGGCAAGAGTTCTCGCCCGGCATACTTGGCGAAGGAGGTGCGGCACCATCTCTTCGTCGCTCCAGAAGATGTGTCTGCGCCCGCACAATCGGCGAACTCGGACATCAGGCTCGTCCACCGAGCGTCGGAACTGCACTCCGCGCTCTGGGTCGTACTGCAGGAACTCGAAACCTATGGCATCGAAGAACGACGTGGAATTCACCTCGAGGAATGTACTCCAGCGGAGGTCCCAGGTGGTGATGCGATCGATGGCCGTGAGCACCGCGCTGAAGATGGGGTGCAGGTCGATATTCGAGGCCCAGAAACGGCCTCGGCACCACCAAGTGCACCTCGTCGAAAGCACCGCTGACATCGCTGCTGGGACGACGTCGGGTGGTGGCAGAGAGAAAACCGGGGAACACCAAGTCCACAACGGTTTAGCGTAGGCCCGGTCCGCCGTGGCCCTGGCTTCGCTGCCTCCCGGGAGGCCTCGGATGGCGTGCAAGCGCTTGCGGAGCTTGGTCCAGCCCCCGGCAGGCGTAATCGGCTCATCCGGAGCATCAGGGAACGCGAGGATGCCGATGTGCTCGATCTGCGTCCTGTCCCCTCGCTTCCAGACCTGGCGCTTCCCGACGTTCTCGATAGCGCCCGTGCCTGAGTCGAAGGCGTTGGTGGCCTGCACGTCCGACTCCATCTGCGGGACGGAGTCGAAGACGGCGGACCTGTCGTCCATGAAAAGGAACTTGGTGCCGTTGATCTCCCAGGGGGAAAGTACGTGGCACAGGACCTTCGGCGCCGTGCTGTCCCCTTGAGCGAGGCTGCGCGTAGGCCAGAGTGTCTCACTGGCCAGCTCTCCCGCTGGCACCTCCGAGGGCCCCGCCAGGCAGCGTTAGTCACCGCCCGCACTCGGCGTGGCGTCTGGGCGTTGCGGAGCGCCGCGTCTGCCACCGCATGCGGCACGTTGTCGTAGCACTTGGACAGGTCACGCTCCAGTCCGCACGAGCCGTGCTGGCAGGCGTGCAGCCACAAGCAGCAGGCGTGGACCACCGTGGAGCCCGCTTTGCAGGCGAACTGAGCGTCCTGTGGCGTGGGCAGGCTGGGCTCGCAAGCTGTGAGCCAGGCCCTGAGGAGCACGGAGCCCACCCCTATAGGCCGGGACTGCGTCGGGTCTTTCTTTGGCACCCCAACAACCCGCCAGGCGAAGAGGAGGTGCTGGAGCTCGGTGGTGGGCCTCTCGACCAGGAGGGTCTCGCAGGTGTCCCGCCATAGCGTGTAGAGTTCGAAAAGCAAGAACTCGAAATGCTCGGAGATCAGCTTGAGCTCGCTAGAGTGCCAACCGTCATAGCCTGCGCTGCCTTTGGCCTTGCGCACGGCGACCCGGAAGTCGGCGTAAGAGGGGTGCCGCTCCTCGTCGTAGGCGTTGGCGGTCTTCGGCAAGGGCTCGTGCGCCTCCGCGGCGTACTGCTCCCACCTGGCCGCGCATCTCTGCTCGTCGTAGTTGGGGTCTGACGGGGCCCACGCTCGCTTCCACTCCTCCGTCATGTCCTCGGCATTGAAACTGGGGCACTCGTTGGGCCCATGAACCTCTGCAGTGGCTGCCCTCCACGTGTCCGTCGTGAAGTGCTGGAAGAGGCGGCGCCACTCGGAGCGGCGATCTCTGAGCAGGTCCCGCTGGATCGCGGAGATGGCCTTCGAGATCTTGCCGTGTGCCTCTGCGTGCGTCGGCCGTCCTTTCGGGCCAGCTGTCAACCGGTCCCGGAGGGCCGAGTCCACGTGCTGGCGCAGAAGAGGGCCTGCGATGAGCTCGTCTGCATGGTCGCGGAGCTGGTGGGCAACGCGGCGACCAAGGCGTTTCAGGCGTACCAGCTCCATCGGCTCGGCGGGCCGCACCGCCGGAGTCGTGGCCACCCTGCGCGAGGTAGGGAGGGATCCCTTGGGGCGTTCAGCGGCCCCGTCTTGTAATACCCACCCCTGGTGGGCAGCTGCCGCCAGTGCCCCCTCGGCCCGGGCGTGCCATCGCTCCCGCCTCTCCGGGGGAGGGGCGGCGGCTGGGCAGGCCGGCAGGGTGGCGTCCATGTGGCTCTGCAGCTCCTCGGTGTCGCTCGCCAGCAGGGCGGTGCCCGGGTCGAGCGTGAACCGTGTAGCGCGGCGCATTCGCGTAGCCTGCGCCGACGGGGCGGCGACCTGCGCAGAGAAGATCACCAGCCCGTGATGAGGAATGAGCGGGGGGAAGGCGACGCTCTCAAGCCTCAGCTCGATGCCGGCCCCCACGGCTCGCGTAGGAGAGGTCCCTGCTAGGGTCGTAGGCGTAGTTGCGGCGCGCAGGGCGGCGTGCGTCGGCAGCGCGTTGACGTAAGAGGGGCGCCAGTTCAGGTCGCCAGCGATGCACCGCGGCACCGGCGGAGTACCACGAGCCACGGTGGATGTGAAATTGACGACTTCCTCCATCCAGGGGTCGGAGCGCACTGCAGCGGGCCCATGCCCAGATGTAAAAACTCCCAGCTTGGTACGAATAGCAACTTCACGATGGGAAGCGGCTCGATGAACAGCAACACGCCCACTGCTGAACGGCACGCTTGGCGTTCCTGGGTGGAGGCGTGGAGCGCACCACGCGCCAACCATACTTGAGCGCGAGTCTGGTGACCCACGCGGGCTTGGCGGAGGCTAGCCGGACCTCCTGAAGACATAAAACATGTGCGTGACGAAGTGCAGGAAACGTAAAGATCTCCTCCAAGCGGTCCGCCCGGAGGCTCGTGACGTTGAGGGTGGCGACCTGCAGCTCCGTCATCCCCTTCTCGCCCCCCCCGCCGCGCAGGGGGGTCTACGGCGGGTGGGCACCTTCAGCGAGCCGTGGCGGGCCGCTTCTTGGCGATCTTCGCCGTGCGGCGCTCCTGGCTCAGGCGCTTCTGGTCGGCGCGGTACCTCGCGAAGCGGATCTTGTCCTTCAGCCGCTTCGTCTTCCGCTGCTCGGGGTCGGCGTAGCGAATATTGTAGAGCTCCTTCCGCCTGGTAGCGTAGGTCTTGGCAAACCGCTTGCGGCTTGCACTCTCCGCCTGGTGGGCCCTGTTGGCGGCCTCCTCTCCGCGCGTCGCCGTGAGCGTGGAGAGGCGCGTCGTGGTGGCAGGCCGGGCCCTGCATGGGTAGTACCTCAACTGGGTCAGGTGGGTACTTTTGCTGCATGTAGAACACGTGTAGTGGTGCTGGATGCCCCCGCCCTTGAGGACCTTGGAGGACACCGTGCGCTCATCGGGGCTGCACGCACCCGGCTGGACGCTCGCCGGCAAGGCCGCCTTCCATTTCAAGTGCGCTGCAAAAAGCTTCGCGCGGCGGGCCTCGCGAAAGGCAGGCCGGGTCCAGAAGCTTGCTTGAATGGCGCGGCGGCTGACGCTGCCGGGCTGGTCTTTCAGCCTGGGGGGGGCGGCGCCCTGGCGCTCCCGCCAGTGGACGGTGGCCTTGTTGTACTGCCAGGCTGAGGCTTGGCTCCCCGAGAGGTGGGCAGGGGGGGCGGGTTGCGCCCGCTGGCCGCAGGGGCACTTGAGATAGTCGCCTTTGGCGTAGGCAACTGGCGTCTCATCGTCAGGGTCGTCGGCGGGGACGCCGAGGATGCTTCGGGCTCCCCTGGAGGAGGCAGCCGCGGGGCGGCGCGTAGGGGCACGGCTGGCGGCTGCCGTGCTTGGAGGGGCGGGAATGCCCAGGATGGACATGGCCTCGGGGTCGAGACGCGGCGCCGGCGCGCGGCTCAGCCGGACGGCCAGGGAGGAGGCAGGCGTTCCTGTAGTGCCGATCTTGTCGGCGTCCGCCGTGGTCGCCTTGAACGTCTTCTTGAGGGCCTCCTCCTGCGCAGCGAGGCGGAGATTGCCCTGGGGTCGGCCGCCGGGCTCGAAGTCGTCGGCGGTCGGGATGCTCTTGGACGGCGTGATGGCGGCCAGGCCCTTTGCGACGGCGATGTGCATGCAGTCCCCACCGCCGCCACAGGCTGGGACGTTAAAAAACTTCGTGAAAGGCGGGGTGGGCGGGCCAGCCGGGACTGGCTTGCCGTTCTCGCCCTTGGCGTGCTTGTTCGGGGGCGCCGCCTCGTGCGGGGCGGCTCCAGCTTTGCGAGCTCCGCCCGCAGGGTCGCCGTCGGCGGCGGCGGCGGCGGCAGCGGCGCCCGAGGGGGCGTCCGCGGGGGCGGCGGCCCTCTCCTCGGCAGGCGGGGGGGCGACAGCGGCGTCGTACTGGGGCGAAGCCTTGGGAGCTCCCCAGCGTTGGCGGGCCTCCTTGCTGGTCGCCTGGCGGGCGGCCTTGGCGGGGGCGCCGTTCTTCGAGAAAGCCCGAGACACGACGGCTCCGGACTTGAAGGTGTGGGCTGTGGCTACGACGCCCGCCGGCGTGTCCCCGCAGAAGGTCCACGCACGGGCGCCTGCTCTGGCTGCGTTGGCGACGTTCTGGAAGCCGCGCTCCGTGGCCCAGGTGGTGAATTCTTGGGCAGTGACCATGTGTGCGGGTGCATTCCGCGCGTGCCATTTGATGGCATCAGCCTCTCCAGGATGTACCCCAGCGGCGCCAGCGACTCCCAGTTGGGCTTTTCCGTGGGGGCGGTGCAACATGTGGCCCTGCCGCTGCTGGGCAAGCTGGTAGACCCGGTCGTAGTACTTGCGGGTGCCTTCCTCGTCCTCCTCGTCGGCCCTCCGGGAGAGCCATCGCGGGGCGATGGGGGCGTCCTGCTGCATGATGAAGGCACCTCTCGGTGGGACTGCTGTCCGGAAATCGGCAGCGTTGGCCTCGGTCGTCGAGACGATGCATGTGACCTCCGCGTCGTAGGCGATGGCACCTCGGGTACGCAGCACGCGCTCCGCGAGGACGTCCCCGAGGACAAGGGCGGGGGTGGTCTGCGGCTCCGCAGAGGCGACGTGGAAGAGGGTCTCGTCGGCGAACTCCGCGGAGATCGTGATCCGAAAATTGACCAGCTTCAGCTTGTTGGCTGGGACGGGCTTGTCGTCCTTCATAGCCGCGTGGAGCCCAGCACACTTCGGCGCGGACTCGCTGAGGTAGGTGATGTTGGCCTTGGCGGAGCGGGGGCCGCGCTGGCCCTCGAGGAGGACCGAGTCGGGGCCGTTGCTGTCCAAGACGACGTAGGTGATGTTCTGGCGGTTCCCGAGGGCCTTCCTCGCGCGCTCGCACTGCTCGTACTCCGCGCGGGTGGCCGCCAGGATCACCATGGGCTCGGTGGACTGCTCCAGGGAGGCCCGGACCGCGCTGGAAGTGACGATCTTGGCCTGTCCCCAGGGGTCCTGAAAAAGACGCGCCCTGACCTGGGGCGGCTCTTTCTCTTGGGGAGCCTCGGGCGCGTCCCGCGCCGAGGGCGATGCTCCCGGAGTGAAGGTCGAGATGACCTCCCGAAGCTTGGAGATGACCTGGGTCTGCGTGACGTTCATGCCGCCGTCCACGACGGACAGCAGGGAGCGCAGCTTGGCGACGATCGGGGTGTCCTCCCTCTGCCGCCTCTGACGCCTAGGGCGCGTGGTGGTGGGCTTTGAAGGCCGCGCCTCGGCACGGCCAGCCTTCGGCGTGGTGCGGGTGCCCATCTGAGCACGCTGCAGCTCAGCGACGGCCGTCGCGAGGGCGATGAGCTGGTCCTGAATCTGGGACTTGTCGGCCCGGACCCGCTGCGAGGTCCTGCTGCCGCCTTTGCCGCCCCCTCCGTAGAGCGGGTCCCAAGAGTCATTCGTGTCGAAATCCTCGTACCCGGCCGAGCCCATGGACGGGGAGAGGTTCGTGTCTAAGAACTCGAGCGAATCGAGCGTGAAACTGGACTCGTACTCGGTCAAAACAAAGGCCGACTGGTGCGTCGCCGGCTCCCCAGAGTAAGAATCGATGCATCCAAAACTGCGTAGGTTGAAACCCTCGTTCTCGTCAAGGCCCAGGGACGAGAGGAGGTCCCCCAAAATCTCGATCGGCTCGAGCGTGAAACTGAACTCGTACACGTTCGCATCGGCGGCCAAGCGGTACCCCGGACCCCACGGATAACACTCGAAAAGCTCGTCCGATGACATCCCCATAGAAGAAACAACGCCGTTCTCCCCCTCGATCGTCGCCACTCGGGCGCGTTTGCAGCATGGGGTCGGGTCGGCAGTACGTCGGCTGCTGGCCCGAACCCGTTCGCGGTGCCACCTGGCCCAGCGGAACCGGACCAAGGACACCCCCGCCACCGCCAAGACCACCGGGAAGTAGTCAGGGGGCCGCTGCGTGGTGGCGTTGTATTCAAATTCACCCCATGCCTATTTCTGCACGAAGACCACGAGAGGCATCCCAACAGACCATGGCCTGCATCCAGAAAATCTCGAACCCACAGGCCAGGCATGGCAACTTGAAAAAAAAAGGGGAATCCCACAATTTTCTTTTTTTTTCAAGTTCGCCCCCCTGTCTACTCCTGTACAACAGACCACAATTAAGGCCCACCTCAGCTCCCAGAAAATTAACCCAGGAAGCCTCTGAGGGCCCCAAATCGTTGAATGCCGAACGGGAATTCATGCTTTCTGCGTTTCCGCACTTCCCCTTCTATGCGATCCCGAGACTTGCGCAGGGCCTCCACGAGAGCCCTTGGATGCAATAAACGACCAGCATGATATTCCATGAGGTAGCCGATCAAGCCTAGCTAGCACTGGAGCGCGCGCGAAACGCGCGCGATGGTTCTCGTATTTCTATATATATATGTATACATATATATATATATATATGTATATGTATATGTATGTATATGTATATGTATATGTATATGTATATGTATATATATGTATATATATATATATATATGTATGTGTGTATATATAAATATATTATAAATATACATGTTTAGGTTGTACGTATCCGACAGGCAAAGGTGGCTCACGAGGCAGCCGAGGCTGCTCCAAGATGGCTCCATCGGCCCTCAGAGTGCTCCACTACCGGCCCAAGATGGCCCGAACACGGCGCGAGGGTCTCCCCAGACGGCCCAGGAGGGCCCCAGCAATTCCCCAAGGATGGGACCATGGTGGGGGGAAGAGAGGACGTAAGAGGAGGAAACACGCACAAGCCAGCGACCTCGCGCCACCGCATAATCTGACGACAGCGCGCGTAGCATCCGTCGGTCGGAAGAAATTCATGTACGGGAAGTTCGGGGAGGATCCCCAGCTCCAGGCTGAACGCGCCTCCGCGTAAGCTCCGCGTAAGCGCGTACGCGCGTAAGCTCCTCGTATTTTGGAGGCGTCTTTGGGTGCCTTAGGGGCCTCCTGGGCTTTCTTGGGTGCCCCAGTCCGCGTAAGCTCTGCGTAAGCCCCTCGTGAGCTCCGCGTAAGCTTCGTTCAATCGCGTAAGTTCGTCGGAAGCCTGAGGTACCTCCAAGATGGCCTAAGAGAGGCCTAATTACACCGCAAGACGGCGGCCGCCAAGATGCTCCAAAAGGCTCCCCAAGAGGGTCTGGGGAGGCAGCGCAAACGCCCAAGAAGGCTTGCCGAGGCCAAGACGGTCCAAGAGCGTTCCAAGACGCTCCGAGACGGCCTAAGAGCGCTCCAAAACAGTCGAAGATGGCCGAAGGGCATTCCGAGACAGTCCAAGAACACTCCAACTCACTCGCAGACGTCCCAAGAGCGCTCCAAGACGGTACAAGATGGTCTCAAGGCGGCCCAAGACGCCTCGAAGACACCCCAAGAGGCCCCCGAGATGTCTCCCAAGAGGGCCTACGGAGGCTAAATCCGTAGGTTTCCTTTCGGCAGTTGAAAGTTTATGAGCCCCTCGCTGGTTCTTGCCACGAACGGACTGAGACAGCTTTGGGAGTCCCCGAGATTGCGCCAGGACGGCCCAAAAGGCTCCCAAGAGGGCCTCAAGGCAGCCCAAGAGGTCCCCAAGACGGCCCAAGAGAGCTCCAATTGCTGGCCCAAGGAGGGCCCAGTAGTTCCCCAAGAGGCTCACCTTGAAGCCCAAAACATGACACAAGGGGCCACGACGCGACACTCCAGTCAAGAGAGAGGGGATAAGGAACGATGGGGAAGAAGTGAAAAAATATGAGGAATTATGGACCAGCCAGCGATCTCTTGCGCTCTGAAAGTAAATGTGTTTTCCGTCCCCGTGCTAAGCAGGCCTCATGGCCTTCGGCCCATCCTGCCACCGTGCCGGGAGATTTAAGAATTGGCGTCCCGGCCCCCCAAAGAATCCTCAGGGTCGAGAGCCGTGGCTAAAAGTTAGGTCGAGGGTTCCGGCCTGGCTGATCCGATCCACCCGGGCAGGGGCGCTCCGGCTGGGGATCCGCCTTCCTGCCGGGTTCTGTCCCTGGTCCTCACCCCCTGGCATGTTTTGATAGTTCGTGCCCAGGCGCATAGCTGGGCGTACGTCGACGACTGGTCGGTGAAGGCTTCCTCGTTGGCCAGGATGGATTTGGCTCTTGATGCTACTCGCAGATTCGATTCTGCTTTGGGTCTTGAGGAGAACGTTCAGAAACGTCAGGTGTGGGCCGGGGCGGGGGCCGTCGAGCACCTCGGGGTCACCGCGGCGGCCGCCACCGGGTTGACGCACAACTCGATTCGCCTCCCGGCGCCGCGCGGCGGCTGGGACCCCATCGTTGCCGCCCTCGGTCGGTTCCGTCTTCTCCCGGGGGGCTGGGAGGTCAGGGAGCAGGCCGTCCTTTGGGTTCTGAGCAAGTTTCTCTGGGCCGCCCCTTTTATCCAGGCCCCGCCACTGTCTGTGGGCCTGCCCTATTTGGTTAAAGACGCCATCGTTCGGATGCAGGCCAGTTGGTGGTGCGATCGCAGATTCTGGGCCACCAACATCCGCGCCCACCCTGTGTACGCGGCAGGTATGAGAACCCTCAAGGCCGCGGCCGGGCTCCCGCACTCGGCCCTGCTTGCTCTCGCGATCCGGGCCCACAGTGCCGCCCTGGGTCTTCGCCCCGCGGGTCTTTCTGGGGGCCCTCCCCCGATCGGTGTCTGGCGTGTCCCGGGCCCTGGTTTGGACCCTCGGGCGGCCGCGGCCGCTTCCCAGGCTGCCCAGTTCTCTCCGGTCCCGGGCGCCTTTGACGGGGCCACTGACCTCGGGCAACACGTCCTCCGTGTTTGTGCTCGCGCACAGTGTCTCATTGAGAGATCCGGCGCCAGACGGCGCCAAGACGAGGAAGGATTGAGCGACGTCTGCGTGGAAACTCAGAGTAATCCCGTGTGGGTGCAGTGGGCCTCCTCCCTGCGGCCCGATCAGCGTTGGTGGCTTCGTGTGTGGCGGTGCGGCGCCACGTGGACTCCGACCCGCCGGTGGTCCCCGGCAGGCGAAGCTCGCACCTGCTGCCCCTGGTGCCCAGAACCCCGGTGTTCCACCCGGCATCTGTTCGCGGACTGCCCCCGGTTCGTCGCGGTCCGACGTGGCCCCGAGAGGGAGTTTGGCCTGCCCCCCGGTTGGTGGGCGACGGTGCCCCGCGTCGCTTCCAAAACGGGATGGATCACTAGGGCTGCGGGCCTGCACCCCGCGGATCGGGCCCGCCTTCAGGTGGCGGCGTGCCGCCTGGCGCTCGCCGTCGTCGAGGCGGACGTCCGGCGGGCCCACGAGGCCCACGAGGAGGCGGGGGCCTACCCGCCCCCCCCCCGCGGGGCTGCCCCAGCCGCCCCCCCGAGGACGACGGTGGGGCTGCGGCTCAGGCGGCTGTGGGGGGCATCGGCGGCCTTCCCTCCTCGGCGGCTGGCTGGGCTGCCGGCGGCCTGCCGCGCCCAGCCCGACACTTTCGGGTTCATTAAGTAATTAATTTGGGCTGCGCGGCACTGGCGCGCCGGCAGAGGCGAGGCCGCCAGCGCGCCTACCTCTTTTGACCCTTTACCTGAGGGCGCTCCAACTTCAGGGCGCGGTGGCGGAAACGTAGATGACTTCGATGTCTTACTGGATGTCCGACTACCTTTGTTCAGGAGGCTCACGCGGAGCGGCGTCGGTTCTCGCGTGTGCTGTTTGCGGCCCCCCGCCGCGCTGCCCGCGTGCCGTGGTTGCCGCGTCGCCCCCCTCTTCATCCGCGCCTGTCGCGGGGCTTCTCGGGGGTCTGTGTCAAGTCCTCGGGGGGCGGCCCTTTGGGTGCCTTTTCTGTGCTCCTGGGAGTTCTTTCAGAGCCTTCTTGGGGGCTTCATGGGGGCTTCTTGGGGGCGCGTCTGAACTCTTGGGGGCCATCATGTGGGGAAAGGTTCCCTGGTTCCCAACGATTTTTCTTATTTGGCCTCTCGTGGGTCTTGGAACTCCAGAGGGCTTTTGGTGGCCGTCTTGGGGCCCTCGTGGACCAGTCTTGAGGGCCTCTCGGGCAGTATTGCAGTCTCAGAGGCCGGAAAAGCGAGAGCGCGACAATGCAAATAACATGCAAATTGTGAACCATTCTTCTCTGCCTCTTGCGGCCCTCTTCTTGGGCTTTCTTGGGGTGTCTTCGGGGCCTCCTGGGCCGTCTTGAGGTTATCTAGGATGTTTGGAGGCGTCTCCGGCGCGCTGGGGCCCTTCTTGGGCATCATAGATGTCATTTTGGGCATCCTGGAGGCCGCGGGAGGGCCCCAGAGGCGCTTTGGGGGGCCCAGGGCGCTCGCGGGGCTTGTTCTGGGGACCCCCCCGCCTCAAGCGAGATCTTGAACGACTGGGTATAGGGCCGGGCGCGCCCAGGATGATAATCAGTTGCTCCAGAATTCTCAGTGCGCGCTCCCGGGCCGCCCCGGAGCGCCGTGGAACGGCCGCGTCGCCTGATGTACTCTAAAGCGAGCTGAGGGGCACAAGGAGCGGAAGCGAGCGTGTGCCCGCGGCCGCGTCGGCTCAAGCGGCCGGCCGCCCAAATATGACTGTGTCTCACTGCGAGACACGCGATCGCTATCAAGACCAAAAGGATCTTCCTATTGCTTATGATGGCGCGTCCTCTCCTACTGGGGCTATCCTTACTACGGTACAACAGATCAGGGGCCTGAGGCGAAGCTGCTGGTTGGGCTTCCCACCCCCCGTCAAACTTGGTGGCGGAGCTGGCCTATGGTGGTCAGCTCCTGCTCTACTCCTCACCGTCCACTGCGCTATCTGGTGGACTACATAC